CCCTCTAGTCTGCATGAGTCTAATGCCTGTATAGCATCAGTGAAGAATCGGACAATTCCCCGGAAAAGGAACGTGACGAAATCGTTGAACACGCTCGGGACATGATCGATATCTCCAATGGTTCAGAGGGTGCAGACAACAAAGCCTCTGGCACTAGCCTATTCGGCAGAGACGGCCAAAAAAGACTTTACTTGAACTCGCAGGTGATTTATGCCGACGAAAAGGAGGCCTACATCTTGCGACCCAACCTCCAGCCGTCAGCGTACTACGGACGACGTCCGCTCGCGAACTACATCCGCAAAGGTCGCAAGATTGGTATCCAGGTTGTTCGAGGTTTCGATCAAGACATTTGGAACAGGATTTATCCGCCAAAGAAGGGTGCCAAGTTTGAAAAGGCCAGGGAAGGCGTGTCCAGCTCTATGGGGGGTGTTCATCCTGGCCGTCGGATGAAGCTCGACTCTGCGTTCTCGCACTCTGATCGTCCAGTGGTGACTGACCTCGTCCTTGTTATTCACGGAATCGGTCAGAAGCTCTCTGAGCGTGTCGAAAGCTTCCACTTTACGCATGCCATCAATTCTTTCCGCCGAGAGGTCAACGTGGAGCTAGGCAGCGACAGTGTGAGGGGAAACTTGCGCAAAGACCTGGGTGGCATTATGGTGCTTCCGGTGTGTTCGCTCTCCTCGAGTCTCTTTTGACGATGCATACGACTAACTGGGATTAGGTTAACTGGAGGTTGAGTCTTTCATTTGAAGACGGAGGCTACCGAGACGAAGAGGTTGACGATCCTGCTCAAAACCCTTTTAAGCTAAAAGACATTACGCCGGATACCTTGCCCTCGGTACGGAACATCATTAGCGACGTCATGCTGGATATTCCTTACTATTTGTCTGTGGAGCACCATTCGAAGATGGTAGCAGCCTGCATTCGAGAAGCCAATCGGATTTACCGACTCTGGTGCAAGAACAATCCTGGATTCGCCGAATGGGGACGTGTGCACATTCTGGCGCATTCGCTGGGAAGTGTCATGGCTCTTGACATCCTCAGTCACCAGCCTACTTATGTCGACAAAGCATTTGGCGATCCTAAGACTCCTGAAGCAGATCTTCCCACGGACCACTTCCTCTTCGACACAACTGACCTCTTCCTCTGCGGAAGTCCTGCTGGATTCTTTCTACTGCTCAAAAAGGGAGCCCTTCGACCGAGACACGACAGAAAGAAACCAGGCGGTCCGGTTCAATTTAGCCCTGGTGTTGCTGGCGAAAAGGACACGTACGGCTGCATAGCGGTCGACAACATATACAACATTGTCAACCCTTATGATCCAGTGGCATATCGCCTCAACGCCACGGTCGATGCCGACTACGCTGCGACACTGAAGCCAGCACTTGTACCAAGTGCCAATACATCCTGGCTCAATCTGTCAAATCCCTTCCGCAACCCCCTCGCAGGTGCCGATGCGTCAGTCGTGCCATTCCGCGCCAGCATGCCCAGGCTGCCGTCCAATGTGGAGCTCGAGACGCACAACTTTAGCCGCGAAGAGATTGCCGAAGAGCGCGCGTATGCGCTTAATGACAACGGCCAGATCGACTGGTTCCTCAAGTACGGTGGCGGTCCGCTTGAAATTCAGTACCTGACTATGCTGGGTGCGCACAGTAGCTACTGGATTTCGAGGGACTTTGTAAGGATGCTTGTAATGGAAGTTGGCCGTCCGTTTGGGAAGGAGGGAACCGTTCTGCCCATGAGGGCGGCCAAGAGAAAGGATAGGTCGTCGTGAAGCAGATATCTATCTCCCCTTTTGTTATCAGGCGGCGTTTTGTCCAGCGTAGTGGAGCGGCGGTCTGAGCGTTATGATTGTACGAGAACCTCTGTTTTGCTTTCCTGTCTGTTTTCCAAGCGAGTTTGATGATTCGACGATTGTAGACAAGATGTGAGTTTGGCACAGAATGTCAGTAGACGAAGACGCTTGTACTACATGAATGTATATTGAAACTTCCGAATGAAGATTTGAAAGCTACAAACAATGCCCTGTGAATTTCTATCGAGACAATACAACACGTTTGTGAGGCCGTCCATGCTTGTGACGATCTGTCTTGCTGACGCCGGGGCGGGATAGCGGCTAGTGCTCGGCAAACGCTCGGGGCAGGTGCAATGGTGTCTCGTTGGACTACCTCGCTGCTGCCTTCTCCAACCCACCACAAAACACAGCCCTACTCGTTGCTTTGTTTCTGATTCGACTACTGCTTTCCTTCGTCATGCCGAGACATCTTCACCATGGACGACAAAAATTCCCTTCAAAGGAAGCAGCGCCTGTTCGCCGCGATTTACGCCTTGGACCAAGATGAGGAGGAGCCCGATGAGCCTTATGAGGAGCGCGTGAATGCTCGCTCTTCTACCCTTCAGTCACCAAACCGCAATCTAAAACGGTCTTTTGGAGACGCTGTTGGATCTTCATCTCAAAATCACCACACGCTTACAACTCGGCAAGACCTTACGCGATCAACCATTTCTGAGGCAAACACCTCTCTCCGACTAGGTTTCTCTCTTACAAAAACATCCTCCAGAGAAGACTCATCATCCCGCTTATTTGAACGGTCTGACGCCATGGAAACATCTGACGGTCGGCCCCTCTCCTCACTTGCGAAACTGCCTCGAGCTGCAGGAAGGCAGAAGAGGGACGCACAACTCCGCCGTGTACCAGAAGATCAGCAGATCTTCAAGGACTTGGTCTTTTTCTTCTTCCCGAACGATGACACGCATGCCGCGCGCCGGATGAGGATCACCAAGTCGGTCGAGCACGGCGCAACCTGGGTTGTGGAGTGGTGTTCCTACGTCACACATATTATTGTCGACAAAAGCTTCAACTACGATCAAATGAAGAGCTACTTGAACAAACAATCGTTTCCTGGAAACGCCATAGTCGTGTCTGAGAACTGGCCCTCCGACTGCTTCGCTTACAAGGCCCTGGTCGACACAGATTTGCCGCAGTACAGTGTCTTGGGTTACAGAAACCCGAATGCAAAGCCTAAGCACATGGATGCGGTGGAGGAACAGCCTTCAAGTGTCCAATCTTCGCAGTCCCTTCAGCTGAAGCCACCAAAGCATTGTGAGAATACACCTTCGCAAGCCGAAGAAAGCTCCGCCGATAGCAACAAGGACACCATTGACGTCCGCGCCATCTTGAGGGACTCTCGGGGTAACGAACAGCCCACAGCAGCACCTCTGGATTCTGAGGAGCGCCATCACCCCAAGGGTGATGATCCTCTTGATCAGCTGATTGCTGAGGCCAAGAAGACAGAGCACCTCGTAGGTCTTGCGAATGCGCGTGTATCCGTCTTGAGCTTTTCTCTTTTGCTTTCACACCCTAATTCCTCATGCCACTCACTTAAAGTATCGCTAATTCTATCGCAGCCCCTGGACTCCGAAGACGAGGAGTCATCAGCTCAGCAGAGCGCAGAGGAAGACTCGGACTCAGAGGGTCAACCGCCCAGGAAGATGAATAAGAAGCCGGTCAGCAAGGAAACCTGGCAATGTATGAAGAAGAACGATGGCAAGGGCGACGGCCGTAACCCCAACGCCCGAACGATTGAAATTCTGGCCGAAATGGGCCGCTACTACGACAGAGTTGGCGACGAATGGCGGACTCGAGCCTACCGAAGAGCAGTCAGCACTCTGCGCAAACAAGATGAGAAAATCATGACCAAGGAGGAGGCGTTTGAACTCCCGTTCATTGGGCAGCGGCTCGCCACCAAAATTGAGGAGATCGTGTGGACGAATCGACTGCGCCGTCTGGACGCCACGATCGCCGATCCTATGGATGCTGCTTTGCGGACTTTCATGGGCGTTTATGGTGTTGGCCTCTCCCAAGCGTCCAAATGGGTCATGAAAGGCTTCAAGACTTTGGAGGATTTGAAGGGCGTGCCCCTCACGCCTGCGCAGCAAGTGGGCATCGATCATTACGAAGACCTGAACACGCGAATCCCCAGGGACGAGGTGACTCGCCACGCGGCCGTCGTCACCGCCGCCATACAAAAGCTCGACAAGGACTTTTCCGTCACCGTTGGTGGCTCCTACCGACGCGGCGCCTCCTCGTGTGGCGACATAGACATGCTAATCTCGCACCCCAATGCTTCCCAAGCGTACTTGCAGGAGATAACCCTGAATCGACTCGTCCCACAGCTCACTAAAGCCGGCTACCTCAAAGTCGCGTTGGCATCGGCAGCGAACCACGAGAACGGATCCAAGTGGCATGGAACCTGTGCTCTGCCTGCCAGCGAGTGCGGCACACGCTCTTACGACGCTGCGATATTGGAATTAGCATTAGCAGAGGTGACAGAATCAGAAACAGTGGACGGCCCCTGGCGTCGCATCGACCTCTTGCTCGTCCCGCACTACGAGCTCGGCGCGGCACTCATCTATTTCACGGGCAACGACATCTTCAACCGCTCCATCCGTCTGCTTGCAATCCGGAAGCACATGCGGCTGAATCAGCGCGGCCTCTACAAGAACGTCATGAGAGCCCGGGATCGAACAAAGGTCACAGAGGGAGAGCTTGTGGAGGGCGCCGATGAGAAGAAGATTTTTGAGATTTTGGGCGTCCCTTGGAGGAGGCCAGAGCATAGGATTTGTTAGAGCAGGATTGACCACGGGGGGCATTGGGGTTGGTGATTTCGGCATCGGCAAGAAGTACGATGCTGGTAGGTGGCATCAGTTTTCAGGACCTTGCTCGTCCTTCTTACGTGCAGGTCTCGTTGGGAAGACTGCAGCAATGGATTACTCCTTCTATCTACCTTTGAAGGTTTGTATGACCTCTTGTGGTAGACCTTTTTGAGCGTACGTAGCCTGACACACAGGAACTACGAAAGAGCAACTTCCCGTCACCACTCCCTCCGTACCTTCCTCCCTCCTCTGCTCCTCCTCCATCGCCCCTTCCCCCCTCCTCAAAAGCCACCCCACCCCCTCCCACCACCAAAAAAGAAACCCCCCTTCCCCATCCCTCCTCATTCCATCGCCGAGAATCGAACTCGGGTCTCCAGACATAACAGGTCCGCGATTCGGCCAAGGTCTCCAGAAGCATCCAGGTCTCCGTCCGGTCAAGGCCTAGGGGGTCCTGGTGTTCCGAAAAGTCCTAATGGCCGACGCCGTGGTAATGCAGTCTGGTGTGCTGACCACTGCACCACGATGGATTTTGTGATGGATAAGGTGGGGGTTTGGGGTTTATGTGTGTGGGTGTGGTGGACGGGGGAAGGAGGAAGGGGGAGGGCTGAGGAGTTGTGGGGATTGATGCTTTTGTCGCGTCGAGTTGTTGCTTGCTTGCAGTCTTTTGGAGTCCTCGAGGATTTGCAGATGTCTGCACCAGCTCCTCGATTCGCAGCCGTTGGAGCAGCGCCCAAACAGGTGCCATAATCATGCGACCATCGCACGCACTCTGCTCCAATCTTCCCAATCCTCTCCGGTCTTCAGCATAGAAACAACACCAAAGCCCCCACCCCAACCCAACCCAATTTTTTACATGTTTATATATCCCAAACCCCCACCCTACCTCCAAGGACCGGGATGGAGTTCGAACGGTTGGATCCGAATGGCAGCAGCGTTGGTAGGCTACGAGGGTGTTCTCTTAGAAGGGCATCTGCTTCCTACACTCCGTAAGGCGCCAGCCGAAGATCCAGAGTTCGAGGACGAGGCCTTTTTGTTGTTTTGTTCTTTTCCCCCCTTTTTCGCCCTTGGCTTTTTTGTTTGCGTGCTGTATTGCCTGTCGTCTTGTTTTTCTTCTTTGGTCTCGTGTCCTTGTGCGTCATGCGTGTGGCCTCTGGTGGGCGAGTCATCGCATCGTTGACTTGGGAAGAAAGCTGCCTCGTTGTCCTCACATCAGACTCCTCAGCTACTTGCCGCTCATCCACCTCCGAGGTCACCAACAACACAAGACATGGCAAGACAGGAATGAGAAGCAACAAAACTTTCAAGCACTGACAGCCGTAAGGCCACGGTAAGCGTTTCTAATTCATATCTCTCATCTTTTTTGGTGGATTTGATTCGATTCTGTTTGGTCGAGAGCAGCTATGAGAGCGAAGGGAGAAAAAAAAGAGAGTATCCATCCAAACAAGGGTTGTGCCATGAAGTTGCAAAGAAGCAAAAGAAACAAGCGGGTCCTCCGAAGCCAGACGAGACCAGACAACCGAAGTCTTTTGACTGATTGGTCTGTCGTGCGTCTATCGGTCTTGCCGGTGCAGGCGAGAAGGGGAAAGGGTATGATGTGGACAGAGTCGTGTCGTGAAGATGAGATGGGGATGGGCATAGCAGCAAAAGCAGAGCTTGTGGGAGTCATGGTGTGGTGTGAGTTTGGGGTAGTAGGTATTGGTATAAACTGTCGTCGTGTAGCGCAAAAGCCAAAGAGCAAGAGAGCAAAAGGAAACTCGTTAAAAAGGTAGGTCGCAAAAGAGAAGAGCCCCTGTAAAGCAACACCATGGTTGGTCTTGTCCATTCCACCCATTCCATCCGTCCCTCGCACTCCATCCATCCCGTGTGCACCTTGAGGTAATCCATTCTTCTTGTTGTTGCTCCATACCATTCCCCCGTCGATCGTTTCGTCGTCAAATGAGAAAGAAGAGGTCGGTCGATTGTCGTTCGTTCGCTTTCTCGTGCGGTCGACCACGGACAAAAGGAAATCTCGGAAGTCGAATCTGCAAGTCAAAACGGAAAGAAAGAAGCAAAAAAGCAAAATGCGACCGACCAGCATGTTTTTGCCAGCCATGAACAAGAGGAAGTCGCTCTCGGCCTAGTACCTGGCGCCCATGGGAGGGGGAGGCAGGTTGCCGGCCGAGTATGGGTTTGCGTCTGCGTACGTCGACGCGCCGTAGCCGTAGCCAGCGGGCGGAGCTGCCGTGCCAGTCGGGTTAGCAGAGCCATTACTCAGGAGAAGACGCTGATTCTGTATTTGTTGCTCGCGTTGTTGTTGGGCCGCACGCTCACGAGCCTTGCGCTTCTTGCGCCGCTTGGTCTCAAGGTCGTGCACCAAATGCCGCTGCTCGTTCATCTCCTTCCACTCGCTGAAAGCCGACTTGATTCCCAGCGCCGCGATACCCACCGCCGCCGCATCCTGCAACATGTTTTTGCTCTTGCGCTTGCGCGCTTCTTCGGGTGACATTTCACCCTCGGACACGAGCTTGCGACGATTCTCCGATGCGACCATTGATGAGTAGACTCCGTGTGCGGCGTGGATGGTTGCTACCGTGGCAAGGCCTGCCGTAAGGAGTTCCTTACCTCGCATTTTCTTCCGCTGGTATTCCATGTCTGTCGTCGACTCGGAACTCATGCTGCTGCTGCGCATGTTCCCGGGAGCTGGTCCAGAGTAGTCGGCTGGGCCGCCGTCTCGAGAGCGGCCGTAGCGGCGGCCGCGCGAAGGAACGTAGCTGTCTTCGCTCGAGGAGCTCCCTGATCGACGACGTCCCCGTGACTTGGAGCGCACGCGGTCGTAAATGGCTTTGCCTGCCGCAGCAATGGCACCCGCACCGGCGAGGTTCTTGATGGCACCTCCGCCTTCTCCTCCCACGGAACGACCACGAGATTGGCTACGGCCGAACAAGGATCGGGCGCGCGACATGGACCTGGAGCGTGAACGGCCTCGGGAGCCCGAGCGGTCTCTAGGACCATTGGCAAGGCGGTTGGCGACAAGACCACCAATGACGGCCTCGGCCGTGTGGCGTTTGCTTTTGCGGTTGGGGTCTCGGTCAACCAAACCATCGATACCAGCAGCACCTAGGGCCGCTGTTGCAATGCGGGTGCCCTTTTCGCCGGTCCACGGTCCTGGGTCCTTGCGGCTGCGGAATGCTTCGACTGCACCGGCGACCAGTGCGGCCTGGGCTGCTTGCTGCCATTTGCGCTCCGACTTGCCGTGACGACCGCGGCTGCGGCTCCGATCATCGTAGCGATCATAGTGGCCGTACCTGTCCTCGCGACCGCGGCTGCGATCTCTGCTCTTGCTGCGGGATTTGCCAAGGACGGTGCCAACGATGCCGCCCAAGCCAGCATCCTCGAGGAAGCCCTCTACCTTGGACTTGCGACGCTCCCGCTTAGGAGGGCGGTCGTACTCGTCCGAGTAGTAGGCATCTTCGCGGTAGCTGTGGGGACGTCCACGAGGAGCCGGGTAGTAGTCGTCGTATTCGTCGTCGTAGTAGTCGCGGCGACCGACGGAGCGGGCGCGCCTTGCTGGCGGGCCATAGTTTTCGCGCACTTTGGTTCTGCGGTACTCAGCGCCTGGCGGGGGAAAGTCGCGCGGAATGTCTTCGATGCTGTCATCGCGTGGGCCTCTGTAGACGAGCTCACGCTGGGCAGGGGCGTTTCCGCGCTGAACATAGGTCTCTTCAACATACTCGGGCTCTCTGGTGCGAGTCGTGCGCGCACGGCGCAAGCCCTCGTCGAAGCGATACTCGGACATGGCTGACTTGTTTGCGGTGGGCTCAAGTCAAGCACCGAGAGAAGCGCTAGGTTGGGTCTGCGGTGAAACAGGAGACGGGATCCAGGTAGAATAAGGTCGTGGCTGAAGAGGAGCGAGTCAGGGTCGATAGGTAGACGAGAATTAAGAAGAGGCAACATACCAGGTGTTCAGGTGAAGTAGGTGGGTTGACGTTGGGGTCAGTCGAACGAGGAACGAGGCAGCCGAAAGAGGGGCTGGAGACAGTAACGGCAGGCAGCGACGAGCGTGCGGCTGCAAGATGTTTTATCGGGCAGAGAGGAGCTCGGTAGGGGTCCGGGATGGTAGTTGTATGGTTGGGTTGGGCTGGGTTGGGATGCGATGAATTGGAGGCCTCTGGACGAGGTGGACGTGGTTCTTTAGCCAGGAGTGAGCGTCACAGTCAGGGAGGAAGCAGGTAAGCAGAAGCAGGAGTCGGTCGAAGGCTGGAGGGCGGCACCCTGACGACGGCTGTGGCAGCGCACTGCAGCACAAGGTCAAGTCATCAAGCACCAGTCTGGTGGGGTTTGCTGTGCAGTGACGTCGGCTCGGCCTTGCCACATGCCAGAGGCCAATAATGCGAGTGGTAGTCTGAGAATGCGGGTGGCCTCTTTTGGGGAATTCTCGTGATGTTTCTATACAATGCTAGAGGCACTGACGAAGGAAGTCAGCGCCAGCCCCCAACGCACAGGAAGAACACCCACCACTTGGCCACGATTGGCGCGCTGAAGCCACGGGACGGCGTTTGACATGTTCCCCCGGACGCACTGGCTCGTGGCTTTGAAACATCAGAGTAGAAACTACACACTTTTGCTCGATTCCACGTTTCATGGCCCCCGGACTCGGGGCCGACGATACTTCTTGGAGGTGTGGACGAGGGGACCAGCCGCCGGTGAGCCACCAGTGACGCAACCCACGTGATATTACCTCCTCTGTGTGGTTTGATGTCCTGTTTGCCTCGTCGACCAGCATCCACTGTCTTTTGGACGTCTGTTTTACGAAATAATGCACACAAACAGATCGACGTCCAAATTGGCAGAAGCTGAGATCAGTTACATGTCCGAGTGCGAGGATCCGATTCGGATGTGCGATGGGCATCAAGGGTGACCACGTGAGCGTCCCCTCTTCTCTCTTCTCCGCTCTCTCTAGCTGGCGGCCCACTCTCGTATCAATCTTATCTCCATCAAAGATATGGAACATTCCCATCAGATAATCCGCCTCCCCTCGTCGTCTCCTCCAAAAAAATAATCAATATCCCACCCACCTCGAGCTCTTTGGAAGAGCCACTCCGGTCCTCCATGTCCGGCAACACTCACACCGACATCCTCCTCGTAAGACACCTCCACGTCCGGCCATTTTCCCATTTCTGACCGCAGCTGCAGGCCGGCGCATTTGCTGCTTTTACCGTAGACCTGCTCGTCTATCCCCTCGACACGCTCAAGACGCGCCTGCAGTCGCCCGACTTCTCGCGCCTGTTCGTCAATGCCGCAACCAACACCGTTGACCGCCGCGCTCTCTTCCGCGGCTCCTACCAAGGCGTTGGCAGTGTCATAATTGCCACGCTGCCCTCCTGTACCTACCTCCGCCCCACCTACTGCCACCACCGCCCTTGAAAGCCTAAACCTATGACCTCATCACCTACCGAACTCCCCTGTACCCGCCGCTGCACAATGACAACACGTCCAATGGCCTGACTTGAGCATAGCAGGAGCCTTCTTCACCACCTACGAAGGCGTA